GCAGCTGCTGAATTGATTTCTGATGGTCCCTTACTATTTTTAAGAAATCTCTGTTTTCATGGTCCTTCACCTCAATCCTGTCTTCTATACCTGATGTTCTATCTTCAGATTCTCTTAATCTACTCTGCATGCTTTCAGTGGAGTTTTTCATCTCCTGGATATCTGTTTGAATCTGTTTCATGGGTTCCGTTTCTTTGTTATGTTGGGCAATCATGGTTTCCATTTCTTATGCTGGGCATTCATCGCTTCCAGCATGATTCTGAGCTCATCTATTTTTTTTATCAGTTTCTGTTCTAGGGCCTCTCATCATGTCTTTCACTCTGCTCACCATCTCTGTAGTTATCTAGGAGATTATTTCTGCTTTGAATTTTTCTAGAGCCTCATTCATCTGTTTTGTTAGTTCCTCTGCTATCAGTTCAGGGTGTCCAGGTGGTTGATTATCAGACTTTTCCACCTCATTTCCTCCAGAATTTGCCTTTTGGTGGGTGGAAATCTGAGTTTGTGACTTGCTTAAATGTCTTCTCATTTTTGTTTTTAGTACTATCCTTGGTTTAGTTCCTGGGTTGATATTTTGAAGTTGCTTATTGTAAGTACTTTCGTTGATGTATTATTATTTTTTTTTTTTTGGTACCGGGGATCGAACTTGGGACCTTGCATTTTCGAGGCAGGTGGCTGAACCACTGAGCTAAACCCCCGTCCCCTTCGTTGATGTATTTAAAACCCTTATGGAATGATTGCTTTTCAGAGGTGTCTTCCAGATATAGCTGGTCTTTAGGTTTTGAGTCTCTAATGGCTCTCAGGCTATCTCATTTTTATTATACCAGGAAGGACAACTGATTAGATCAATCACAACACCTTAGCCCAAGTGATGCAATCAGCAACACCATAGCATCAAATACATCTTAAAGAATAGTAGTTATTAATCTATTACCTTTAAAAATGAAGAGCCTCCTTCAGGGTATGTCTCTGCTGTCACAATAGACAGCATGGGCAGCAGTGTGCAGTTATAAGTCAATGAGTCTCAGTAAGCTAGTCCCAGACCCATGATATTCAGGCAGATTTCTTCCTGCAAGTCCCAAACTGAGCTCCCTGTCTTCCTGCAGGGTTGCACTCTGCAAGGTTCTATTGCAGGTTTCAGCTGCCTTTCCCCTGAAGAAAGTCCAGGTTCCGATGGGAGCTAATGATCCCTGCAACTTACCCATCACAGTGGTCTGGTGTGCCTTCATTGTAGAGATTCTCTTCACTTTTCCAGTGGGCTAGTTTTCATCAGGGAAGCCTGAGAGAGGCTGTCTCTCTGTTCACTTCTGCAGCTCAGGACAATGGCTTTTATGTCCCCCTGTGCCTCTACAGTGTGGAACCAGGTAGCTGCACAGTCAGAAGGCCAGAGGCAGCGGGGTGGGATGGGGTGGGTGTTGGGGCCTGTTGTTGGAGGCACCCATGTGGCCAAGCTGTCGGCTGGTGGGCGTGCTGGTGTGTGGGGGGGTCCTCTTCACTCTGTCTTGGACACAAGCTGGTGGAGCAAGCTGGAGGAAGCAGGTCCCAGTCAGGCTACAACCTCTCGTCCCCACTCGTCCCCACTCGTCCCCACTGGGCCCCACTGGGCCCTGCTCAGCCAAAGTCTGGATTAAACTTTTTAATTGAAAATTTATTTTCTACTGAGGAAAAGTAAACTTTTTATTAAAGTATGACTTATACAGAAATGTGCACAAATACTAGAGGGCCTGTTCAACCAAGACTTAGATCAAGAAATAGAACATTTTCAGCACCCTAAGATCTGTACATTTTCCCATAGTCTCCTTCCTGCTACTCTTGGAGTTTTTTTCTTCCTCTTTTTTTTGGGTTAGACAGGATCTCCCTGTATAGTCCAGGCTGGCCTTGAACTCAGTATATAGCCTAAGCTAGCTTTGAACTTGGAATTGTCTTACCTCAGCCTTCCAATTGCTGAAACTACAGTTGTGTGCCGCCATGCCCGGCTACTCGTGGAATTCTAACACTACTGATTAGTTTTGCCTGGATTTAAATATTATAAAAACAGAATCATACAGTATTGTAGTCTGGCTTTCTTTCAAAAGCATTTAATTTAGCCAGGCATAGTGATGCATGCCTATAATCCCAGCATTTGGGAGGTTCAGGCAGGAGGATGTTGGTGAGTTGGCCTGCCTGGACTACATGGCAAAACCCTGTGTCGTCCCCCCCCCCCCCATGTAGTTTGATTTTGGAATTTAGAAACAAAAACAAAGACACTGTGTTTATCACTATTTTGGAATTGTTAGAATGACAAAGAGTTGAGATCTGAGACTATAGATAGTGTTAAGCAGGTTGTTCCTTTAAAAATGACTCACCAGTTAAATGTATTCCAGGTTCTTTTTGCCTTGAACAAAGAATTGAACCATACAAGCTAAAAACAATGTCAAAAGTTCCTGGGGATTGAACCCAGGGCCTTATGCATGCATGTAAATCATATGTTATACCACTGAGCTGTATCCCTGGGTTTGAAATTTATTCCTTTTTTTTTTTGAGACAAGAGTCTCACCATGCAGTTCAGGCTGGCCTTACTCATTATGTAGTGCAGGCTGGCATCAACTCATGGTGATTCTCCTGCCCCAGCTTCCTGAGTGCTGGGATTATAAGAATGTGCCATCACACAGGACTATTTACTCTTGAATGCACTGTTAAGAAAGGCAAACATCATTTAAAATCACTAATGAGCTGGGCACAGTGGTGCACACATGTATTACCCGTGCTCTGGGAGGCTGAGAAGAGGATTGCAGGTTCGAGCCAAGCCTGGCCTCTTAGAGACTTAGCAAGACTGTCTCAAAATTTAAAAATGGGCTAGGGATGTAGCTTAATTGTGAAGGTCCTAAATTCAGTCCCTAGTATCCCTCCCAAAGCAAGCAAGCAAACAAGCAAAAAACTCCCAAAAAGCACTGTCAGTGTATATTACTGTATTATGAAAATATGCTGCAATATATATGTGTGCTTTTTATTTGTATATTTGTGCTTCTCTACTTTGACTTATTTTGATTTTTGACTGAAGTTTCAACTAGTGGCTAAAGATTCTAAATCAGGTTAAATAAGGTTAAATCTTGAAACAAAGTTATTTACGTGGCAACATTGTTTTGATAGTCTGTTCAGCTATAAGAAATGTTTAACACCAGATAGCTGAATAGAGGGATGATGTCAGTATAATGTGGAAATTGTTTTGGATTACAAAATAGGGTAAATGTTTGATTTTTAAAGAACATTATTACAATAAAAGACCTTGCCTTTAATCCCTCTCACCACCACCACCCCCCTTCCATTTTTGTTGCCACTTTCTGAAGCAGTTCTGGAATCCTACTTTTGTGTTGTCTTTATTTGCATTGTGGCTGCCTGGATGTGCTGAACTGATTCAAAACACTTTCCTCTTGTGGTCATTTTGACTTTGGAAAAAAGCCACAAAATTCACACTGTGAGATCTGGTGAATAAGATGACCGAGGACACACTGTTTAATGTTTTTGACAGAAAGTGGGGTAAACGTTTGATCAACATAGGTAGATCAAAAAATACTGTGAATATTCAAATTTAAAATGTTATTACAGTAAAAGGCACTTTGCCATTAATCTTCCTTAAAATGTTCCCCCTTGCTTTGAAAACACTTATCTCATTGTTTTTGACAATGTATCTTTTACTGTAAGTTTTTTAGTAATTTAAATGTTCACTGTATTTTTCAGTCACCCAGTGTGTGATTTTTTTGGTTTTTGCTAAATATTCAGTTTTTGAATTGTCTTACACTCTATTAATGGCATCTTTTGGTGAGTAAAAGGTCTTAATCTTAATATCTTCTAATTTATCAAATATATTCCACGATAGCAATCCTTTCCCTTTCGTTTAGTGCTTTTTTTTTTTTTTTTTTTGGTACCAGGGATCGAGCTCGGGTCCTTGAGCTTGTGGGGCAGGTGGTGGAACCACTGAGCTAAATCCCTAGCCCCTGTTTAGTGCTTTTTTTTGTTAAGAAACCTTTGCTTACTGCAAAACTTTGAAAGTATTCAATGTATTTCCTTTTCAAATCCATATTGTTTTACTGTATACACTTAAATCTGCAATCCATCTGGACTTGATTTTTGTTTATGAAGTGAGGTAGGGAGTGAGGATTCATATCCAGTTGATCCAGCACTACTTATCGAAAAGTCCATCTTTTCTATTTTCCTTTCTCCGATTTTTTTTTTTTTTTTGAGATAGGATCTCCCTGTGTAGTTCAGGCCAACCTGGAACTCACCATGTGGCCTATGTGGCTGACCTCCAACTTGCAGCAATCCTCTTGCTTCAGCCTCCCAAGTGCTGGGATTATAGGCATGTGCCACCATGTACAGCTTGTATGTTTTTAATTAATACAACTTTATAATTGTTTTTAATGTCTTGTAATTCAGCTTTAAACCTCAAAATCGCTTAGGTGTTTTTGTTTTTTCTTTATAAATTTTAGAATGTAATTTGTTAGTTTTATAAGAAAAGACTTCTGGAATTTCACATCAGCTCTAATGATCAAATTGAGGATAAATTGATAGCTTGGCAACATTGAGGATTTTTTTAGACATTGAGCGTTTCAGTTCGTAAGTACGGTATATTCCACCATTTATTTGGGTTTTTCTTTTTAATATCTGAGAACAGTGCTTGGAAGACTTAATATCAGACCTGAGATTTGTATAATATCTGTACTCATTAAGACAGTATTAATAGTGATGCAAGTGTTGTATACATAACCCTGTGGAAAAGACTAGGGTCTTAAGCCAGAAGTATCAGTTTATGTTTCATCTGACAACTACTTTTAGAGTAAACATTAGCCAAATGTGGTGGTGCACACCTGTATCCCAGCACTCCGGATGTGGAGGCAGGAGGATGGAAGTGAGTTTAAGATCAGCCTGAATTACATAATGAGGCCCTGTCTCAAAAAATAAACAACAAAATAGAGTACAAATAGGTGTGTAGTCTTTGGTATAATTTTACCCTTCCTTTTCCACAGGTGTGGACCATGTTTGAGGATTGCCCCAGCATTCAGTTCTATGAGTAATAAATATCCACAGGCTGTTTTCTTGGAGGTAGATGTACATCAGTGTCAGGTAAGGGAGAAGAGTCCTTTTAAAAATTTTGAATCCGCTTTAAATTCAACACTAATACCATCCATTAATTATCTCTTAATGCACATAATTATTCCTTAGAATATAAGAAAATGCTGGGCAGGTGTGTTGGTGCTTGCCTATAATTCCTGCACTCAGGAAGCTGAGGCAGGAGGATCGCCACAAGTTTGAGGCCAGCTTGGGCTACATAGTGAGTTCAAGGCTGGTCTGAACTATATAACAAGACCCTGTTTCAGAAAACCAAAGAAAAAGAAAAACCACATATCATTTTGACTACATTAGTTAAGAAAGGTAGCACATTATTAATCATTTCAGGTTTGTGTAAATGTTTTTTGATGTAAAATTAATATATATTACACTCTACAAATCTATAAAAATTTCTTGTACTACTGAGGTATTGAGTAATTATAAAGTTATGACAGGGAATTCTTGGTTATAGTTTGATTTGAATTGGTCATTTTGTTAGTCTTACCTGCAAAGCTGTATATTCAACAGAAACTAAAATATTGATTACTGTTGAGACTCAGTTTTGTAGATGTTACTCTGATGAATTATTTGGAATGGCTATATGAGTTCTGCATTCTTGTATGTAGAAATATGGGGAATTGCTAGGGAGAAAAGAACTTTGAAAGACTCCTTCATATACTAGTCTTTTATTCTAAGGAACCACTTTGCAGTGCTATAGCTATTTTTTTTCAATGAGGCTTTGTTTTTGCTACATTTCTGATTGTGGAAAAATTTTACAATATTAAGTAGTAATTTGGAGATTTAGTATAAGTTCTACATTATATTTTTATGTTTTAGTACTTACACTGGACTGAATCACTGGACCTTATATTAAGGACAGTATTCAATGTGTCTAATCTGAAACTGCTTTCTTCTAGAACAGTACTCTCTGCTATGGTGGCCATTAGTCACATGTGTTTTTTGAGCCCTTGAAATGTGGCAAATCCAAGTTGAGATGTTCTCAAGGTGTAAAATATACATTGGATTGTCAAGACTTCTGAAAGAAACAGTATAAAACATTACATTATCTTTAATGTTGATAACGATGAAGATGCATATATTTTGTTCATTGAAGTAATAAGACTGGTTTTACCTGTTTACTACTGTCTTTTTTTTTTTTTTGGTACCTGGGATTGAACTCGGGTCCTTGTGCTTGTGAGGCAGGCGATGGAACCACTGGGCTAAATCCCTGGCCCTACTGTCTTATTGATACTAGGAAAATTTACATATATAGCTCATAGTTGTATCTTTTATTTCTTTTGAACACTGTTCTGATAGGTCAGTCATCGTTATTCCATGAGTTATTGCAGAAAACATACTTAGGTTATCTTTGTGCTTTTTTTTCCTTTAAATGGTATACAGGCCGGGTGCGGTGGTGTGTGCCTGTAACCCCAGCACTTAGGAGACTGAGGCAGAAGGATTGCTGCAAGTTCAAGGCCAGCCTGAATTACAGAGCAAGATCCTGTCTCAAAAAAATAATATAGCCTGGGATTTAGCTCAGTGGTGCTGTGCCTGACTTGCAAGTTCAAGGTCCTGAGTTCAATCCCTGGGACCACAAAAAACAAAAAGCAGCAGCAACAACAAAAATAATATAGTGGTATCTTTTCATAGTGTTTGAATGTGTAAGGTGACACATTTGTTTTACTATTCTTTTTTTTAATATTTGTCATAAAAATTTGGAGCCATGATACTCTAGTTACTGTTCCTAGTTTCCATTTGGTATAAAATTGTAGAAATAGGACTTTATTTATTTATTTACTTACTTATTTACTTATTTTTTGAGGTCTCACTATATAGTTCAGGCAGGCCTTGAATTCCATGTAGCCCAGACTGGTCTTGGACTTGAAATAATCCTTCTGCCTCAGCCTCCCAAGTCCTGAGATTATAGGATTGTGCCACCCTGCTCAGCTGGGACAGAATTTTAAAATATAACTGTTGAACCGTATGTTCAGTGAGAGACTAGATGCCATTCTATTAAAGAAGAAATTGAATTGGAGTTGCAGTGCAAAAAGTACTGCTTCCTCTTTATGGGTAGGTTGGCCTTTCTCAATTGTGTACTTCTTTCTGGTGGCTGTGGTTTGTATTGGATTATCAATATCCTGTTGTTCCTTTTGAAGAGCTGTCTGATAAGAAGTACAGTTCTGTATTAGAAGCTAAGTGGATGAAGTATTTCATAGTAACAATGATTTTAAAAAACAGGGTGGGGACTGTTCTTTATTGTGAGTGTAAGAGTCATGTAGCTGTGGCCCAGTGAAAACTCTCTTTAAGAGAAATAGGTCTGCTTTTCCCTAAATAACAATATATTTTACATGTTTTTAGTTTATGCTTAGGATATTTAACTACCATAAAGTTATAAAATGAATGTTGAAAATGGTTTAAGTTTTGTTTTAATTCATAGCTCTGTTTTAATTTGCCAATTCTAGGGAACAGCTGCTACCAACAATATATCAGCAACACCCACATTTTTGTTTTTTCGAAATAAAGTGAGAATTGATCAGTATCAAGGAGCAGATGCTGTGGGACTAGAAGAAAAAATCAAGCAGCACTTAGAAAATGACCCTGGAAGTAATGAGGACACAGATATTCCAAAAGGCTATGTATGTAGACCAAAAAGTAAAATGTTCTACTCCTTGGCTCTGTATGTAAAGTGACTTACGAATTTTAATGTGTAACCATTATATAATGAATTGCTTTTATTGCCACTCATTTTCTATGTAGTATTCTTTTTAGGTGCATTTCCTCTTTCCTGGCAGTCTACTTTTTAAAAAAAATTCTAGTTTTAAATTTTGTTGTAGAGTAAAATGTGACTTTAGTATCACATGTTTTCTTAAGAGTAAGTTATTTTACACAGTAACTTAAAACCTGAAGAACTTAAAGGATAGTATTTGAAAAATGCATGGTGTAGACAGTAGTACTATAAGCCTTTATAGTTTGAGAGCTGTTGAGGAAGGAAGCAAAATTCAAGAATAATATGTAGTGGCAGCAGATTTGTTTATGCAAACTGGTAGATTCTGCATAGTAAAAATTATGTAATTTCTTAATTTTTCTGGTTAGTAAGTTACTGCACGGCAAATCAAAGAGTAAATTTCTGTGAGTCTTAAATTCATGGTGAATAAGGAGAAACCTCACTTATTGTCAGGTAAATACAAGAAATTATGTGGTGGTGGAGGAAAGTGTGTGTCAAAAGGGTAACATGATACTGACATTATTTTGAGTTGGGAAAGTACAATTAGTATTTCTTTAAAATAGAACTGTAATTTAAAGTTGTAGCATCAGTTAGAAAGTATGAATATGTTTAGGTCAGGGTTGATAATTACCAAACAAGGCCCTTTTATGCATGTCATACAAAAACCAATCACTGAAATAAGTTTGGCAAAAGAAAGTTTATGCACAAAGCAGCAGCCAGAGTGTGGAGACAGAGCGTATCTCAAGTCTGCCACTCCAAGGATAGGTTTTAATGGTAATTTATGGGATAAAGAAGCAGGATCATCTATGGTTTAGGGAAAAGTGATTGGAGGTAAGAAAAAGTGAAGTAATTGGTGGTCTCTGCATGTGTAATCAAACTCACTTTCTGTAGGACGTAATTCAGAAAATGAAGGTGTTACTATGATCGGAGGGCAGACAGGAAAGTCACTCATCAGACACTTGTGCAGGCTCAAAAGTGAAGCATCAGTGGTTTCAGCTGATATAAACTAAAAAAAGCTGCCTCCAAGTTTCTGAAAAATAACTTAGGCAATTATTGGCATCATCACATTAGAGGTGTTATCTGTAGCAAAACTAGTGGCAGCCTAATATTTTGTAATTTCATGGTCACCACCTCTTTTTGTTTTAGTCTGTATAGCTTTCTATTCTGAGTCAGATGCCATTGTTCTGAGACTTGACAGTTCCCTCCATCTAGGAATCATGCCTTGGTTAGACTTTTTAAGATGTCTCACAGGACCCGATGTTCTATAAAACATCTCATACAAGAATTGGAAGTGATGAACTTATTAGGAAAATACTTAGCAGTAAGGAAAGAGCTCAACTCCAGTCTGATTTGGATGTTCTAAAGGAAATATGGGAGCTTAGTAGAATCAGAGAAATAAAAAGTACAGAGATGGCTAGTGTTAATGAGATGAGGGCTGCAGTGCTGGTTAGCTGGCAGTTACCATGGCTAGAGTTCTATCTTCTCAGAGTCCTAGAGTTGGAGGTCTTCTTTTGATGATTACATTCTTGGTATCTCAGTTACTTTCTGATTACTGGGTCAAAATACCAGACATCCACAAGTTTAAGAAGAATAGGTTTATTTTAAAGCAGTTTGTAGAAGTTTCAGCCAGCTGGCCTCAGGGTAGGGTGACATGGCAAATGGGCATGGCAGAGGAGAAAGAGTTCATGGTGTGGCAGGCAGGAAGAAACAAGCCTTGTTGCTACTTTCTTTCCATTTGTATGCCATTCAGGCTTCAAGCCTATTGGTTGGTGCCACCTAAACCTAGGGTGGACGTTCCCTCCTTGTAAATCCATCACCCACACCCAGAATTATGCTAAACTAATCAGTGGACTAATCTAGTAACATACCCACATCCACGATCCAACCACCTCCTAAAAGCCCCACCTATGAGCTCCTGAAGCTTTGAGGGGACATCTAGACACAAGCCATAACACTTGGGAATGGTTTTCAGGTCCTTGGCAGATACTTCTGAGCCACAAGAGAGGCATATTCATACTTGTAAGGCCTAAGAGAAGGTTGTGGCCTATTGAGCTTGGTTTCAGTGGCACTTTTTGGAAAATTTTGGAAATGACTTAACTATAAACTGTTGTGTTTACATCTTTTTAGTTTTTTCCTTTTATTCCTAAGGATATGTGCATGAAAAAGCCTAATATGCTCAACCGTTCAAATGTTAGCTACAGGAATACTTGTTCACATATCAGCCAATGTGATACCAGTGTTTTGGCCTCAGGAAATAAGAAGAGGGAAAAAAAAGTTAGTTTTTATGCAGATATGGATAAAATGTATAAAACTAGTAAAAACATTTTTTTCCATTCAACTAATTTTGGTCTTACAGGGTTATTAAATATTTAAAACTGGTAAATCTATTTTCAGTAGTATCATTATTCTTAAAACAAATAGAACTTAATGATAGTCACCAAATGAAAATATATTATCTTAAGTAGATTTAAGTGTAAGCAGTGTAAAAATGTATTCACAATTTTTTGTAAAATTATGGGTTCTTTTCTTTTGTTTTAAAGAGAATCAGACCCAGGATCTTTTGTGTACTAGGCAAGCAGTCTACCACTGAGCTACATTCCTAGTGTAAGAAAAGGTTTTTATGAGCATAATGGCTTGCTGTATGTATGTATGTACATATGTATCTATGTAGAGATAGGGTCTTCTTAGGTAGTCCAGGCTAGCCTTAAACTCACTGAGTAGCTCAGGGTGGCCTAGAACTCCTGACAATCCTCCTGCCTCAGCCTGCAAGTGCCGATAACAGATGTGCACCACCTCACCCAGCTTTGACTTTTAGTTTTTATAAATGTTTTCTGAAGTTTGGAAAAACTGAAAACATTACATCTTTTGTTTCTCACATTTGTTAAAAGTAGGTCTTAGGTAGTATGGCTTCAAATAGCCTCCCTCATACCTTCTCAATTAAGTCTTCCTCTCTCTGCAGAAATATGAATGCCAGGCACTCTTGGTTAGAACTTACATTGGCTTGTGTTTTCAACTTTAGATGTGTTACTGTATTTCAGTATTTTAGGACCTTTGAATGCTAACCTTTGGCCACAGATTTGTCACATCTATCAAAATGAAATCAGACTTTATATAATCCTAATTTATGTAATAAGTACAGAAACATTTGTAACACAAAAGTGTATAGAGTCTTTTCTTACTTTCCTGTGTGTCTTCTGATGGATTTTTCCTACTCCCTACCAATAAAAAAAATTTTTTTTGAGGTAATGATTTTTAAAAGTCTAGAGCTAGTACAATAGGCCATGTATACCATTTACCTATGTTGTCTAATTGTAAATGTTTTCTCCTTTTTCACTTCTTCACTAGCCACATTTCATTTTGGCAGAATCCTTTATGAGTAAGTTATAGACAACTTGATGGTGGTTCATCTTTAAATATTTTAATGTAGCTAATGTCCTTAGGAAAATATTTTCCTATTACCCATATCATTATACTCCTAACACACTTAATATTGCTAAGTACAGTACTTCCAGTTTCTTACATTCAGATTTCCTTAATTATCTCCCAGATGTTCTTTATAGTTGTTTTTCCTCAATTCAGGATCAATAGGTAAGGTACTGTGCATATTTTCAGAATGTCAGTTTGCAGTTAAGTCAAATATGCAATTTAATGCTGGTTTCCCCAAGCTTTGTTGTATAACAAAATACTTTAATATAATTATCTAAATGTGATTTTTTTTTTATGTACCTCAAAATAAAAGTTATTTTGATCAAAGCACCCATTTAAGCTGGATATGGTGACTTAGGCCTATAATCCCAACAGTCAGGAGGCTGAGGCAGGAGGACCTCAAGTTAAAGGCCAACCAAAAATACATAGTGAGATTCCCTGAATAATTAGGGACCTATACTAGTGTATTATCACCATTTTGATATTTAATTTGACATGCAAAAATGTTCAGTCTTTCAGAACTATATGTGTGTATATTAGTATTCTCTGGATGAAAAATATAATGATTCTTTGTCATAGAAATATGAGCAAGTGATCAGTATATGTAGTAATACTTTGTAACTTTAAAAATAGTCCTTGTTTAGTAGATTAAATGGATGATTTTCTTAAAGATAGTTTACAGAAATCAACTTCACTAGAAACTGAAACAGAACATGTACACAGACCATTCACCATAGAGACATAGAAGAAATAGTAAGAGCTCTTCCATAAAGTTCCATGTGATTTCACAGGTGAGTGTTGCCAGATTTTTAAAAATCAGGTGATCTAGTGTTACAATAAGTACTTAAGACCATAAATAAAGGAAAAAATCCTCAAAATTTCTTTTTAAAGTAACTATGAGATTCCAGAATCTAACAATGTATGTACCAAAAAAGAAAAGTCGCTGGCCAGTGTCAATTACAAGTATCATTAAAAATTCTTAAAATAAAACCTAACAGTCCAGTAATAGAATAAAAAATATCATCATGAACAAAATTGGATTTATTTGTCATGCAACAAATGTTTGTAATCTGTCATATTAATAGAGCTAAGGAGAAAAATCACAATGTCTAAATATACAGAAAAGGTATTTGATAAAATTCAATACCCATTTATTCCTGAAGTATTGACTAAAATCTTAATGGAGAAAAATGAGAGGCATTCCCACTAGAGTCAGAAAAAAGACAAGCATGACCACTGTCACCACAACTTTTTGCAGTTGTGTTGGAATTATGGAAGTATTGGTGAACACAGTATACAGGAGACCAGGAATATGCTGACACCATAGGGAAGTAACCAGCAAAATCCAGAGTTGTAGGAAATCTATAGCTAACTGATTATAGATTAAAAGATATATGAGACATATTAATTATATACCATGTTTATACATTTTTAATTCTATACTTTTTTTTTTGTGGTATCAGGACCTTGTGCTTGCAAGGCAAGCACAGTGCCACTGAACTAAACCCCTGGCCCATTTTTAATTCTATACTTTGAATATAATAATTTAAAATATTTATGAGAAGTTGAGAACATTCGAACACTAATATTTGATAAGGCATCCTGGTTTAGTTGTGATGAAGCTATTAAGCATGTATGTGTATTTTTAAAGAGCACTTACAGAAATATATGACATTTTCATGAATATAATGAAACGAATGTCTTAATATTTGCTTCAAAACAATTGGGAGGAGAGGTGTAGGATACAGGGGTGGGTAGAGGTGAAATGAATGGGCATGAGTTGTTCATTATGGCTGGAGGTAGAGGATATGTGAAGTTCATTAAATTACTCTATTTGTATATGTTTAATATTTTTTGTAATAAAAAATTGGCCAAGTGTGGTGGTACATGATTGTAATCCCAGAGCTATAGAAGGCTGAGAGAGAAGGGTCTCAAATTTGAACCCTGCCTGAGCAGTCTAACAAGATTCCGGTTTAAATTAAAAAGTACTGTAAAAAGGGCTAGGCATATAGCTCAGTGCAAAAGCTCTAAGTTCAATTCCCAGTACAAAATCTGTCATGTCCTTGCTATTCGTCTTAAATTTAACCTTTAGATAAGTATAGGCTTGAAGAGTCTATGTCCACTAGGATAGGAACACAGGCTTTATTTGGGTCTTAAAGATACTATATTTTGCAAAATTTCTACTATAAAACAGTTACTAAAAAGTGTAAGTCAACATTTTATAATCTTAGTGTTACAGACTTAGTTTCTGCTACCTTATCAAGTAAGGTAAACCTTGGGCCGGGGATTTAGCTCAGTGGTGCCACTGCCTGCCTTGCAAGGGCAAGGTTCTGAGTTTGATCCTGGTACCAAAAAAAAAAAAAAAAAAGTAAAGAAGTATTAGTAACTTTTTAAAGAGTTGTTTTCTTTAAAATTGCTTGATCTGGTGAGAATCACAGATTTAAATTTTTAACATTTTTATATCAAACCAAAATGTTTTGCCTAATGTCTTGATTTAATGTTTTTCAGATGGATTTAATGCCATTTATCAACAAGGCTGGTTGTGAATGTCTTAATGAAAGTGATGAGCATGGGTTTGACAACTGTTTAAGAAAAGATACAACCTTCTTGGAATCTGACTGTGATGAACAGGTAATCGAGTGCATAAGGGTTGTAGGGGGCTGGGGCTTTAGCTCAGTGGCTCTGCTGCCTGCCTCAAAAGTGCAAGGATCTGAGTTTGATCCCCGGTACCAGAAAGAAAAAAAAAATTAAGGCTTGTAGGGATTTTCACTATCACTCTTGTTTCTCATGTTCCCATCTCATGGCTTTTGTCTCTTACCCCAGATGATCACTCATTCCTTTCCTTTTAAAGGTTTCAATTTAATTCCTGTCCTTCTGCCATCCAGACCCACATTCTTTTTCTATTCTTCTGTGCCATGTCAGCAAGTAATTGGGAGGGTGGTGCACTACGGAAAATTGCAGAACTTTTGAATTGGATCCATTGCCAAGTTTGGTCCTTTTGCTCATCCTTGATTTGTGTTTGTGTTTGCCCCTTGCTGGTAAGTTTGTGTTTGAGGAATAGAGACTGATTAGATGACCAGTCCCTCTGTGGCTAGCTCTTCACTCCCAGATAGAAACCTACCATTTTTCCTATGCTTCTCTGTATTGCCCTTTCCACAGAGTAAGTAGGTGTAACCACCTTGATCAAGCTATCTTTTCTTTCATCTGGGTGTTATTTACCTTAATGTACTTTCTTTTCCATTGTCTCTAGCTTGTCCCTATTCTAGTTCATTCTAGTTGTATATTGTCACAAAAGTTATTTCTTCAAATTATATATCTGCCTGTTTCTCTTTCCTAAAAGAGATTCTTCACTGACTTCATGAAGATGTCTTACTGATTTGATCTGTTTTTGGCTTTCCATTCTCATCTCTTGCACTTCACCTGCAGTTCAGTTCTCTATACATATTATACTTACTATTTTTTGACACACAATTATGGGTCCAGTATAAAAAGTAGAGGTGTAATTAAAAGAAATATACTAGTTGTTTTCTTAGACCACAGTGTGATTCTGAAATAATAAATCTAAACCAGAATGTTTATTACAGCTTTGAGAGTATCATTTGCTCTGTATTTCTCATGAATGGTATAATGTGGTAATGTGTATCAGCAGGGCTGATTACAGTCTCCTTGAAATCTTTCTGCCAGGGAAAATCTTTCTGCCTCCCAGGGAAGCATAGATACTTACATCAAACATAATGTTGGCTGGAAAGTTGAACGAATGACTTGCAGCTTCTGAAAGGTGGTTATCCTGGCAGTGTTTTCCATCCCAGTTCCCTTATACGGCTTTCCAGATTCATTTAGTTAAGTAACTTTAGGATGGAGCTTTGGAGGGTACTGTAGAACTATGAAAGTCCCTCCACCTGTCCTTTCCACCCTCCATCCTTTTCTCCCTTCCCTCTTTCTTTTCTTTTTTTCCTTTTTTATTTGTTTGGGATTGAACTCAGGGCCTTGTGCATGCAAAATATGTGCTGTGCCAACTGAGTTAAACCCCTAGACCCAAGAGTCCTATTTTGAGTTTTGGATCAGAGATCATTTGAGGGCTAATCTCTGCATAAATCTGTGCATTGCCTTCAAATTGTTGAGTGATGTGGATAAATGTTAAACCATCCTAGAAAAGCTGTATGCTATAATACATAGTTTAAATTTTAATTTGAGAATTTTATTTGATTTTTTGGAAAGCAGGTTGCTTGCCAGTTTATAGGTCATAGGACCTTAGATTTTTATGCATAATTTTAGTACATTATCTTCATTAAATTTTTTTTTTCGCCTTTCCCTCATGTAAATAATTGATGGTGGTATTTCTCAAATGTCAGTTTAATCAAGTTACTTTCAACTTACTGATTTTCCATATTGCATTGGTTTTGTTAGATGAATTAGGTTTTTCTGCCTAAATTATTTAATTCTACTTGGGTGTTACGTGTATTCGAGGTGTTCAAGAGCTCCTTTGTAATGAAACTTTTTCCTACAGCTACTTATTACTGTGGCATTCAATCAACCTGTTAAGCTTTACTCCATGAAATTTCACGGGCCAGATAATGGTGAGTAAAGTACAACTTTTCTTTAAACTAACTGCTTTGTTAGACCTGTTAGCACATATTTAAAACACTTTATTAAATAAGATCGATATCACTTGTTTTAGGAAGGACTGAATTTGTTTTTTAAAGAATATAAATGAATATTGTGAAATTATTAGGGATTGAAAGTAAGAAAGAAATGGAAATTTTAGTTTATTTCATTTCTAAACTTTAATTTTAAAATTTGTTTCCCATAATCTGCAAACTCCTGAATGTTTCCTTCCAACTCTACATTTCTAGCAACCATTTTTTAGAGGAGAGATTCATTTCAAATTCCTCATATTAAGAACAATAAAATTCAGGCTACAGAGCTTTCTATTTGTGCTCTCTTACTAGTGTTACCTCTATGCACGTTAACATCGTTGTAAAGACTTAAGGGTAAAGTAAAGCATTTTTCCTCACCCTTCCTCTCTTTTCTTTTTCTACCACTGTTGATTTTTTTTGAGGACTGGGGAAGGAAGAGGAGCCTAAGATTTGTTGTTGTGGTTGTTTTAATTGATTGGTAAAAGCAGCCAAGGCTGTATTTGTGAAATACCATTTTCTATTGTGTATTATTCTAAATTTTCACGTTAATAATTTTTGTTAGTAAAATTATGCTTTTATTCTGAAAATGCAGTATAAGCAAATGCTGTAGGAATGACTGTTATATTCTTTAATCAGTCACAAAATATGATTCTTAAATTGTACCCTGAAGTGAAGCACATGTAGTCTTACACAGCACATTCCTGACCTAAAGGTGAAATTTGACAGTTTAAATAACAAAATTTTCCAGTTGTTGACCTGGCTCAAATGTTGTTTCTTTTATGAAAATTTGTTAACCTGTGTACACTGTCAGAATCCATCGCTACCTTCCTCGTACTTCCTCACTAGTCATATGTAATTGAGGATGATGACTCTTTGGTACACATGTCTATATGCATGTGTATATATGTGTTTTGTCCCCCCCCCCCCATTAAGTTTATTGTTACATTTTAGGTATAAAATACAGTTACATTTATCATTGGGATCTTGTACCTTTACATGAGTGTCTTGGTTCTTATTTTTTTCCCCTTTCCCTGCCCTCCCTTCACCCCCTCCACCCTTCCCTATTTGCAATGACTTTGTTTCCATTTTTTTTCTTTTCTCATATTTTTTCTTTTCCCTTCTTTCCTTTCCCCTACCCCTCCCACTTCCCCTACTCCTTTAGACCTTTTCTTCCTATTACACACTATCAATTATACATTTTTAAAATTACAGTATCAAGATCTAGAAGACATAACCACAGATTTTACAGAATTTAAAAGGATATAGAAAGCATATTACAAAAATCTTTTTTGAAATAAATTTGACAACTTCTAAGAAGTACCTTGGAAAACAAATTAATGAAACTGGCTCTACAGGAAATATAAAATTTGAATAGCACCTATTAAAGTATATTCCTAGCTTGAAAACCTATCTATATGACAACAACAGGCTCATATACATTTTAACTGATAAATTATATCAAACATTTAAAGCAGAAAAAAGAAGGAGCATTACTCCCCTCATTTTAGGAAATCAACATTGTGCTACTCGTAAAACTGGATAAAGATAATAGAAAAAAGTATGAACACAGATAGAAATTTGTTTAACAAAACAGACTATTGGAAGTCAGATCTGGCAGTATGTAGAAAGTGGTTTTGTTATAGGGATGGCAGTGTTGGTTCAGCATTGGAAGATCCACCCCCAAAAGTCATCGTTTTAACAGAGGAAAGGAAAAAGCCATATGATCCTGTCCAGTAGTTGGAGGAAAAGTGTTGGACTAAATTCTACAGCTGTTCATGGTAAAAGCATGACTAGAAGAGGAGAGTAGAAGTAGAACAGAACCTTCTCAACAGGTCAAAGATATGTACTCCATACTTCCAGCAAAAACGGCTTCTATGAATGGAGAGGATACAATGCTTTTTCCCTAAGGTGGAGAACAAGGGCAGATATGCCTACTCTTCATTTGTCCATTAAACTTTGATGTATATATGTGTTTTAATCTCCTATTCCTAGGATTTACTATAGTACTTGCTAGGACAAGAAGCCATCAGCAAATGTGTATTGAGGGATTGGGTGAGATTGCCTTTCTGAATACTCAAACTCTTATAAATCCTAACAGTAGAGGGCTCTGAAGGTGTATATATACATATGTGTGTGTATGTATGTGTCTGAAAGTACTGTTACAATGATGAAGGGAGAAAGTGTAAGTATATTTGCAGTTTTTAGTATTTCATTGTATTCTACCCATTTTATAGGTCAGGGTCCCAAATACGTAAAGATCTTTATCAACCTACCCCGATCTATGGATTTTGAAGAAGCAGAAAGAAGTGAGCCAACTCAAGCTCTGGAACTGACAGAGGATGATATTAAAGAAGATGGTATTGTTCCTCTTCGTTATGTTAAGTTTCAGAATGTTAACAGTGTAACTGTAAGTAGTATTTCATTGGAATATATTTAACAGGGTTGTGGGTATTTATAGTGGAGCTTTTTTTTTTTTTTTGTTACCAGGGATCGAACTCGGGATCTTGTGTTTGTGAGGCAGGTGGTGGAACCACTGAGCTAAATCCCTGGCCCTATACTGGAGTTATATGTATGTGTAATGGTCATATCAATAAAAACAACTTTTTGAAAAAATAATTGCACATTTTAGAAAATGACCTAAAGCACTTCTGAATAATAGTGCCTATGATGATTTCAAGTGATATATTATAAATGTTGATAAAAATGCCACAAATTTAAGTATTGAAACCCTCCAAATCTCTTCTACTATCCCTCTCCCTGTTCCTTAGAAAAGAGGGTAAAAGTGTTAGTAATGAATACAGATTAATACCTAGAAAAAGAAAATAGAAACCAGTACAGACTCATTGAAAGAGAACATGTTATATCAAATTGATAAAATATCTTTGTTTTAGTGAAATAATTGTTTTTATAAGCTAGAAGAGTGCTACGGTAGGTTTTCAATGGAGTTTATAGGTTGTACAGTATTAATATGAAGAACTACACTCAAGTTTAGCTTCAAGTATTTGAGGCAGGCAGTGGAACCACTGAGCTAAATCCCTGGGGGCTCTAAGATTTGAAATAGTCTATCCTAGTGAAATTGAGGAAAATAGAACACTTGTTATGAAATACTTTCCTGACTTCATATGCAACATACCCCCAATTAATAACACCTTTTCTTTATTTGTGATGAATTGACACAGATCCTGAAGTAATCTATTGTGATTCACTGAAGATATTTATATACTCAAGATTTTATGTAATGTGTTCTATCTTAATCAAAATTTTAGTGAGTGATTTAAATGATAATAGAAGACATACCAGTTTTTGATGAAAAGTTGGAATCACAGTAATAGTTTTGATCAGAGTCTAATCAAAGACAGTAGAAGAATCTTAAAAGTAATAAATATAAACAGTTGTACTTGGGATCAAGGAACAAATAATTTATAAATAACTAAGTTGAGAGCTGGTTTAATATTTATTATATACTTTAAATTGATGGTAAGGTCAGTTTGAGATTAACTTTTGGTTGCCTCTGAAAACAATAAAAAGTAACCAATGAATACCATCTTGAGTGTGTCAAATCAAGAGAGGCAGTATTATTGGGGGTTTTGTTTTGAGATGGTATTGTTATGTGGTTCGGGCTGGCCTTGAGTTCAGTATATAGCCCGGGCTAGCCTGGAACTAACAATGCTCCTTCTATCTTAGCCTCCTGAGTGCAGGGATTACAGGCATACACCACCATGCCTAGCTCGAGGCAGTATTTTTAGACAACATTTATTCTAGAATATTGGTTTTGTTTTGTTTTGTTTGCAGTATTGGGGATCAAACGCAGGACCTTGTGCTTGTAAGGCAGGCACAGTGCCCCTGAGCTAAATCCCAGGCCCCCTAGAATATTGTAATTTTTAAAATCCATGCAAAAAGGGCTGGAGATGCAGCTTGTTGGTAGAGAGCTTGCCTAGCCATGTACAAGGTCCTGAGTTTGATTTCTTCGCGCTGAAAAAAAAAAAAAAAGTGCAAGTGAACAAGATCCCATATATTTGGAAAGGGTTTATAAGTAAAGCTTCTACTTCTTTCCAAAGGGAGTATTTAAATAGAAAATGTAGAGTCCCGCTTAAAAAATTTACGGAAGCATAGTATATTTTTTCTTGTAATATTCTAGGAGATAGAATGGTTGCATGAATATCAGAAAGATTAACTGCAAAGACTGCTCAGTGAAAACTATGATTTTAATAAAATCAACAGAAATCTGTCCCATTGTAATCATGAATCTCACACTCCTTCAACATTGTCTGTAAAGAATTGTGATTATGACTCCTTTATACTATCACACTAAATTACCATGAACTTGTGTATGTGGGTGTCTTGCCATGATTTCCCTGGAGAAGGTGAATGTAATTTAGGATAGTCCCTATAAAGAACAGAGGATGTTTTTATTAATAATGTAAGGAAATCAGTTAAAAACATGTACATGAAAAGTACTGTGACTAGAAACATGATAATTCTTTTTGTTTTGGCAGATATTTGTTCAGTCTAATCAAGGTGAAGAAGAAACAACAAGAATTTTGTATTTTACTTTTATTGGTACTCCTGTCCAGGCAACAAATATGAATGACTTCAAACGAGTAAGTTTCTTTAAATGATAATGAGAAATAATAGTTTTAAGGAAATAATTTAATACATTTCAATAGTCATAATTTTTTTAACCATGAAAATAAAAAATCGTATATCAAGAAACTTAATAAGGTTAAAATTAGAATAAGTTCTCCTAGTCACATTTTGAGATATCCAACTTTAAAAAGAGTCTTTAATGAGTATCGTAGGTCTTAATTATATTGAATGATGTCTAAATAAAAGTAAAAATAGTCTGATTATAGAAAGTGTTTTAGAGTCATGGAAAGAGTAACTTAAATCACTTGAAAGGAGTAGATTTAAAGAAATTTGCTGATTTCAGATTTTGATTTTTGTTATTTCTGGTGAAAACATATTTAAAATTGCTACAATAATTCTGTTAAAAAAGAAGTGAACTCATTATTCCAACATGCTAACTTCCCAAACAATGCCTGTGTACTGAAAGAGTACACTTCAGTATACCTTTACAGTGAACAGGTAGATTTTCTCTCTCTTTTTTTTTTTGGTACTGGGGATCGAACTCAGGACCTTGCACTTGTGAAGCAGGCGGCGGAACCACTGAGCCTGGCCCCTATATTTTTATAATTCTGTATTTTTTTTGTTTTTAGGATGCAATCGTAAAATGTGCAAAAAATGTATAGGATACAGCTAGGTGTGGTGGCGCATGCCTGTAATCCCAGTACTCGGGAGGCTGAGGCAGGAAGCTCGCTGTGAGTTGAAGCCAGCCTGGGCTACATAGTGAGTTCAAGGCCAGCCTGAACTGCATATGGAGAGCAAGACCCTGTTTCAAAAAAACAAAACAAAACAAAAATAGTATATTGGGTACATGGGACTTTGGGAATGAGGACTAGCCCGTGTGGTACATTTTTGGACCAACTTCTAATTGATAGCATTTCTTTTCTTTAGGATGATTCTTAAATATACAAACCCTGAAGTAGCATTGAAAGCTTCTTAGTACCAAACCACAGTTGCTATATACAGTCTTAATGTGTGCAGCACAGGAGACATAGGGTCACAGTGTTTCTGATGGCAGCATCTGGCAGGTGATGCAGGACTTGAGATAGAGGAAGATTCCCTGGGGTTGCCAGTTCTTAGAGGAAGAGGTTCCCAGCAGACCATAGTTTGGGGAATTGGAGCTATAGAACATCTTGGAAACACTTAAATTCTTTTAGGTGATATCTGCAGATGTGATTTAAATTCAATTACAGAAAATTAAATTGGATAACAGTGCAATTACAAAATTATATGCAGTTTTTACACAGTTGAAAACTGAGAGTGGGTATTTTAACTGGTCATTTTTCAACTATTGTCTTCCTGTTTCATAGAATAAGTGACTTTTGGAAGTTGGTGTGTACTTAGATCTGTCATGTGTAGGTGTTTAACAGATGTATAATGCCAGGTCAGAAGAAGCAGAGATTAAACATCTATATTTTTATGATATATGTTTTCCTGAGAAAATGTGTGAGCAACAAAGGCATTTTGGCTGCCTACTTTGCTGCGTTGCCTATTAGAGTTAAATGTCATTGGTCTTGACTTTAACTGTGTCTTGAATCATTTTGTTAGCTTTGTTTTTTAGTAAGATGTTACCATAAATCGTCTTTCTATCACTAACTTGACTCTAGTTTCCTATTTGTCACCTCGATGTATGCTATTTCACTTGAATTTTTTCTGCAGGTAACTACTACCCTATCTTGTGCGTCTTTTTACCAGCCTGGGGTTGAATTGTAGTTTTTATAGTTTGCGTTAATAATTGTCCATCTACTTACCATGTCTCCACCTATTGTTTGTAACATCCCTCTCACATCCCTTCTAGCTTAGTCTTTTCTCTTTTTTGACTGCTATGCCTCCTTTTTTGGGGTCTGTCTTTAGATAGCACAGTTAATTCCTTGCCTGAGAGTATTTGTGTTTATAATAGTCATTTGTTCATTTAACTCTTCACTTTATGTAACTTACAGTAAAGAAACAGTTCTCTAACTTTTTGGCTTCAGATACCATTTAAACTATGAAATAAGACTGAGGATCAAGAAAAACCTATATTTGTGTAGGCTATATTTATCTATTAGAAATTAAAACTGGAAAATTTAAAAAATATTTACAACTAATTACATATTAACAGCTGGGTGTGGTAGCGCACACTTGTAATCTCAGCTCTCTGGAGCCTGAGGCAGTAGGGTCACAGGTTAATGCCCCACCTTGGCAGTTTAGTGACTTAGTGAGACCTTCTCTCAAAATAAAAATATAAAAGGGTTGGGGATGTAGCTCAGTGCAAATGCCCTGGGTGCAATCTTCAGTACTGCAGAAAACAAAACAAAATAACAAAAATACCCCCAAACAAGCATGTAACAGTTTAGCATTATTCTGAAAATAGTTTTGACATCACAGACTTGCTGAGAAAGGGTATAGGGATATCATACTGCACTATACTTTTGTTTTGTTTTTTTTGTTTTGTTTTGTACTGGGGATCGAACTTGGGACCTTGTGCTTGTGAGGCAGGCACCAGAACCACTGAGCTAAATCCCCAGCCCCTGGACTATACTTTTAAGAACTGCTACAGGAATAATTTGAATACTGTTAGGGACCTCCCTGTAGGTTCTGGACTTTTTAGCCTCATGCTTTTAAAATTTATTAATGTCTAATTGGGTGAGTGATTTTTTAATGTTAAGTATTAAACTACATTCTGTTACAGTTTCTGAGTGAGATTTGTTTTGCTTGTAGTCATCCAGTGTCTTGTAGGGTTCTTTCTCAAAAGTAAGCAAATATTTCATTGTTTTCATATGTGAAGCAGCAGTTTCAGTGTGGTTAAAAAATTAGAGAGTTTAGGGCTAGGGATTTAGCTCAATGGCACCGCAGCTGCCTCGCCTTGAAAGCACAAGGTCCTGAGTTCGATCTCCCCCCCCACCACACACACAAAAAAAATTAGAGAGTTTATGTTTAATTGAAATTCGCCCATTTGGTCCTGAATAAAGTTGCTTATTAATAATTATGAATGACTTTGGTTTCTATTGAAGGGAGTAATACGTGGTTTAATACTTTCTGTCCCTATAGTAAAATGTTAGTATAATGATGATCCCTGTCTACAGCAAGATTATATTCTTGTATGTTAACACACAAACATGGAAAGTTAATCAAAATTAGTCAAAACTTTACTCAAGATCCTTTCCTCAACAAAATGTTTTCATACATTCCAACCCAGTAACATTTCTGCTTCTTAACAATGACTAGGAAAGTATGAGAATACTTTATGGAGAAAATGGACTTTTTGTTAGTTTGGGTTTGTTTTGAGACAGGATCTTGCTATGTAGTACAGGCTGGCCTTGAATCCACTCTGTACTCAGCCTGGCCTCGAACTTGGGGCAATCCTCCTCCCTGCCTCAACCTCCTCACTGCTGGGATTACAGGCGTGTGCCACCAAGCCCAATGAGAAAAAGGACTTTGAAGCAAGATTTGAAGGCAGAATTTTGATAAAGTAAAAGATAGTGATGATAACAAGATAGGATGGAAAAGTAGGGAAAGGACAAGCAAAGTATGATACTTTTTTCCCTTTACTTGTTCAGTCAGCTTAAAATGAAGACTTTATGCATTGTAGTTAAACTTTTAAATGTCAAAATATATTTGAGATGTATTTTATAAGCACAGGGAAGAAGTTTTGATAATTGCTTTGTAGCAATGAGACCTGTATAAAATGATTTAATGAATGATAAGTGTTTAGCATTTTCAGTTTACATTTTTATGTTGTGTGAGTTGTAGATCATTTTAGTTTTCAGAATATCCCTGACCCTACCATTATGTCACTAAAATGACAGAAACTAAGGTAATACTGGTGAATTTTGGATGTAGATAGACTCTTAGTTCACCTTACATACTATTACAACTTTATAAGGATATATTTTCAAGATTTACTAGGCTAGAACACACCTTCTACTGTCTGTTTTTGGCCCTGAAAATTGTCATGCACAGCTTATAATACATACTTTCGGTTATTCGTTGTAAATGTATTCTTAGTTTTGCAGCATGAAAACTTTGCCATCTTAATTGGAAATAGATGTTTTCTTTGCTAAAATGTGTTCTTTACACAGATTGCTTCATTTTTATATTAAAATATAAGTATAAAAATGAGAATATTGTAGGAGCTTCTGCTTCTTAGGGAATGAGGCGCATGTGAAAAGCAGAGCAGATTTTTATCACTGTAATAAAAATACACTTTTCTAAACTGGCCATTCACCATATCAGCTATTTTTGTAACATATCTATCTGTTTATTTTTCAGCTTTTTTAATCCAACTCAAATGAACTAAAACCAGAAGATTTTTTTAATGAAGTAATAAAAAGATTGACCTTGTCTCACTCTACTCCCTTCCTTGCTTCTCTGCTCATCTAGCACCTGTCCGCTCTCACCCTTTCCGTGTTCTCTCCATTGTCACTGCAAGATGGCTACAGCTTCCGTCATCTGGATCCGCCTTGTTACTAGATTGCCTCAACCATCTCCTCCTTCAGACCTCATCCTAGCCATGTTTCTCAATTGGCCTTTTATTTTCTTTTGGGCTTGTAACTTGGTGCTTTAATTTCATTACCACACTGTTTTGCTCATCAGACTTTTACGTTCTACTGTTTCATACTTACTTTTGTTCTGCATTTTGAGGAGTAATATTGAAATAAAACTTAAATTGTTATAATGCTTTCAGATTTAATAAGGTAATGTTTTAATCTATTCTAACATTTTATGTTTTAGGAGCTACAGAATCATCTTGGAAATATGTTTTTATACTAGAACTAGTAATTACATTAATTAGGTTTTACTAGAGGGGTGTGGGTTTTCTTTTCTCTTTGCAATGTTAGCCCCAAAGTCTTTTTGATGATTGATGTGGTTGTATTTTCTGCTTTTGCCTATCTGAAAGCTCAAGGCCAGTTGAAGCATTTACGGACTGATTGATAGGCTGAGTCAGACTATTAACATAGAAGATGAATGGACTCTGCTGAATAAATATCTTTAACATCTAATTTTGATGTACGTAGACTTTTGTTTGAGGTGTAATGTAAAAGCTTAAGAAAAAATGAAAAGAGCTTTACATTTGGGGTAAGAATCCTTATTGGAATGCTTAATTTCTTTTTTTTTACAGAGAATGCATATTGGCAAGTTGAGAGTTATCAACCTGTGAAACAGTATGCAGATTTGTGCCTTCTGTATCACATCTGCTAAAATTTAAATTTTTAATATTAGTTTTTTTCGTTTTCTTTTGCTTAATCTAATGGTTGTTTTGCATTTCCCAAGTAATATGATGATCAATAATGCTTTCATTGTTAATCAGTTTAAATTCATTTGGAGTACAAATAGTGCCACCTCCCCTTCCTTATAGTGTCTTTTCAGACTTGGTTTTCTTAACTCTTGGCCCCATCCTTTTTTATGACATTATGTTTTTATCATCTTTTTGTTGTGTTGAGCTTTTCTAACTTTTTTTTTTAACCAGAGAGGAGTTCCTTAAAGTAATAAGAGTGGTTTTCCTTAGACTGTGGGATAGCATTATGGAATTAGAAATTTAGGTGGAGTTTTTAAATCTTCTCTCATGAATGACAGTGACCCAGCTGTGTTCTATTTTAGAATAGACATGTACTGTGACCTTTACAAGTTTGCTTTGTACACACATTACAATTTGGAACAGAATCAATTTAAAATATGAAAGTTCATTTATAAATGTACATATAGATTTTTTTCTATACAAATACAAATTAATATTTTGCAAGTGGTTTCTTTAGAGATGTTTCTACTTTGAGAATGTATTAACTAATGATAAACTCTGTATTTGAGGTAAATCATTCAAATAGAAAATAGAACCCTCTCAGCTGGGAATAGTGGTGCATGCCTGTAATCCCAGCACTCGGGAGGCTGATGCAAGAGGATTGCTGTGAGTTCGAGGCCAGCCGGTGCTACATAGCGCGTTCAAGGCCAGCCTGAACTACATATTGAGACCCTGTCTCAGAGAAAAAAAAAAAAAAAGGAAAGAAAGAAAATAGAACCCTCCCACAGAGAGTTTGTTTTCTAGAATTGTTGGTATACTTGAATTTTTTTCTTTACATTTTTATGCGTCCGTGTTTGTTGGAACCAGAGCATTAAAAAAAAAAACCTTCCAATAGAGGATTTTTCTAATCGTTGACAGACATAAAGTTTATTCTTTACATTTTTTATAGTATATTTTTAATAGGGCTTTTTTCAAAAGAAATATAGAAAATTAGTCATTTTTAATTCTTTTTCATTGAAGGAAGAGTCTAGAAACTTGTCTTGTAGCATACTTTTAAAATTCTAGATTATTTTGTCATCAGCATTTGACTTCTAATTGCCCAAAATAGTATGCAAATATGTTTTACTTATATAGCATCATCTTTTTATTAACTTCTCTAAACTGTCAATCTTGTTTGGAAAAATTGCATTACTTTTTCTTAGAGTGGTAATCCAAAGTAGCCTGCATGTGTTTCATTTTTAATTCCTTGTGGTCCAGGAAGGGGAGTGGGTCACAGCTTGCTTCCATAGTGAAAGTACACTGCATGCCAAAAAAAATTAAAGGATAAATATTAATACCAAGTTTTTAAAATGATTAGCATATTAGTATTTTTGAAAAAACCCCATATTTCTAAATCTGTATATTGTACATACAGCTTTTGTTTGTTTTTCTAGGTAGTTGGCAAAAAAGGAGAAAGCCATTAAAGTGCAAACGACACTGGAAGACCTATTCCAATCAGATTTGCAGCTCCTGGATAATTGCTTGATTCTCTCCAGAGACTGTCAATGTTGCATTCATTGCCATCACCAATAAATCATTGCTTTTGTTCAGATGGTATCACTAGTGTTTCTGTCGTAATCTTGATACATGCAATTGTAAATAAAAGTCATTACTTTTGCCAAGCTTAAAATTTGTCATTTATGTAAGTATTTTCCCTTACCTTTTATTTGAATATAATCCGGCTTCTGATTTTAGGAGAGTCTTAAGTGTCTGGTAGCATATCAGTTGAAAGCTAGTTTCTCTCTTTAGAGGAGCAAACCTGTTGCAGGGAATTAAGGACAATGTGTGTACACACACAGATACAGGCACATAGAACAAGTGATTTTGATAAATAGACTTGGAGTGGCCAACCAAGTAGAAATGAGTACTGACTTACATTTTTATTAAAAGATATTTGGGCATCTGGGCAAAATAAATTAAGTTACAAACTACCAGAAATAAACAGGTTTAATGAGATTGAACTACTCTTACCTAGAACTATTAATTAGATTACACATGCTCATGGCAAGATTTTAATCCTTCTGAATAAATGTTAAAATTTTAGTCAGCCTTTTTCTTTACTAATAGAGGAGTATTGAATTCAGACAGTTGGAAAAGATACAGGACAATGAACTTCTGAAACAATAGAAATTACTACCTTTAATTCAGTGTTAATTGAACTACCAAAACACTAGTATTAATGTAGGAAATACAATGTAAGATTGAAAATGGTTGGCCAAGTGTTTATATTTAAGACATTTATTTCACAGAAGACTGGCTGAATAAAACATTTGTTTTTTATTGCATTTTTTAATCTTAAAATTATCTAGAAAGTACTGTATTGGTAAATTTAATTTTTAAATTTTGAAGTATTTTAAAAATTGAATATTTTAAAGTACTAAGGCTATAACTTGTGATTCAGTTAGTGCATTTGAGGACGTTCTTGTCTTAAAAATATGACACAAATACTATTTGCCCTTGGAAGACCAATGTATTTATACATGCTTATGAAAAAATTATGTCAAAGTTCTTAGTGTTGAAATGGTCACTTTCTTTGAAACCCAAGTGTCATGACTTAATGTTTAGTTCATTGGTATGTGAACACAGTAACTGTGTGGTGATGTCTTTATGTATTTCAGTTTTCTTGCCTTGGGTCGTGTGGTGGCGGAAGCGCAAAAATAAAACTTTATAACAATCAAAATAGAGACCATCTCAGATTAATCACGCCTGAAATTAAGAATAAGATTAATATTAAGAGTTTTGTTTTATACTTTTGTACACTTAATCTTTTTGAGTAATTGTTAAAGTGCCTCATCTTATTACTGACTTTATCCTATTTATATTTGACAATTTGAAAACCCAATAAAAGTAGTTTCTTATTTGTGGAGGGGTAGGCATCAGATTTATATTGTTTATATGATTTTTCTATAACTTGGTTGCAGCATATCAACATTCCATAATTATTCAAAATGTAAATAGTGAAAAATGTTTTTAGGTACTAACATGTTTCACTTATGGGAAATTTTATTATTACAAATAAACATGCATAATTGACATTACTTAAAACATCAAGCTGAAATGCTGTTTTCTCCTAAGATAGTATGTTTGTACATATATGTGTATATATACATAACATTTGTACATAACATTTTTCTAGATGAATGAGGACATTTAAAAAAACCTATTTTAAAGCAATTAGTACTTTCTAGGAAATTAATAATTGAGCTTATTGTTTGTTTTGTCAAACATAGCAAAAAAAGAATTTCACGTTTTATTATATTTCACGTTAGTATGACTATCTATATTGAAGCCACAATAAAATACCCTGTGCACAATAGAAAGAAAAGTAAAATATTTCACTACAACATCTTTGTCAGATAAAGGGAAGATTAGCACTGGCCACCACACTCTTGTGTCTCTAGTAGGCTTTTAAAATCCACTTTGGCCTTTTGCCATCAAGCCCAAAACTGTCCAAATACTGTATGGGATATATCCATTTAGTAATCTGTGAATGGAATTGATATGTAAGTTGGACCCTGTCATCCTTGTCTCAATGTTGTATAGTGTTTACAGATAGGCTGTTAATGTACATTTGGCTTCAGCATTTTATTTATAGCTATCATAATACACTTTATATGGGTTTTTTTAAACCTAAAAGTTAAAATCTTTTCATGTTGCTCTTAAAGTCTAAAATCTTCAATAGGAATAAGGTGTTAATGTTCAGCAATTTAGTTATACCCTCTCCTTTACAAGCCTTTTGAAAGAGAAATTTAGGGCTGGGGATATAGCTCTGGCACCATGCCTGACTGGCAAGCCCAAGATCCTGAGTTCAAACCCTGGTACTGCAAAAAAGAAAAAAGAAATGTAGAGCTTATCTATGTTACTTATATTGCTATTTAGGTAGGTCAGTTTGGTAGGTTAAATTTTGTGTAAGGTATTTATCTTCTAAAATTAGTCATTTCTAAGATAATTTTTGAAGAAAGGTAAGTTAGAATAAAATCCATTCAATGAAGTGCTAAAAAGTGTCATGCATTTTACAAAAGTTGCTGAGCATTGAAATTATTTACAGTAGGTAAATTATAGACTGTTTAGTGAGTAAATTTTTCCCACTTTTATTATACAGATTAATTGATTTCATTTTGGCAGATTGTACATGCATATAACATTTTAATCATTGCCCTTTTTCCATCAACCCTTCCTCCTACTTTCACATGGTTTTTCTTGGGGAGGGAGTTCAATGTGTATAATTATTTTGATCATATATTGTTGTCCCCTGTTACCCACTCTTTTACCCTGTTGGTAGGTAAATTTTAAAATAAATAAACTTCCCCACTTATGTCCACATTGCTTTAGGAAAAGTAGATGTCATTTTAAGCATGTTTTAAAATTTAAATTGTTTTCAATTTAATTAGTACATTTTTATATGCCAGCACCATAGAAAAAGGGACTGTGGAAATTTTATAGGCTAATAAGATCACTTTGAAACTTTATGGCATATGTAGGATCATTGAGGAGTGTTACTAAATTAGATATGCTAATTAAAATCATACACAGCTTGGATATTTAAGTCTTTGGATATGTTAACTTAAAATTGGTAGACTGTTTCTCCTACACTTGCTATGCTTCTCTATGGGAAGAGGAAGTTTACTTACAAGCTAATAATAATTTGAACAGGCCAAAATTAGTTATGAAAATATGATTGGTTGGTTTATACTTGGATATGTACTTGGAGATACTGGCTTCTTAATGGTACTTAGTAAGATATTGGAAGTTTGGAGCTTGAATTTCTTGTGTGAAACTAGGAGCATCTAGGGCCTGGGATTTAGCTCAGTGGTTTCGCCGCCTGCTGTGCAAGCGCAAGGACCCGAGTTTGATCCCCGGTACCAAAAAAACCCACAAAAAACAAAACAACAAATAGCAGCATCTACCTCTTGGGTTTGTTATGAGGATTGAACACACCTTTCTGCCTGGACCAGAGATCAGTAGTTATGTTCTGTTCTTTGCTCTCTTGTCTTACTTTTTAGGCCATCATTTCTTGCTCAGCATACTACACTAGCCACCTAACTGCTTCCTAGCCTCTGATCTGGCTTTTCTAGTATATCTTATCAGAATGTATGCTGATAAACCTTCCTCTTACCTAACTTCTCCATCTGACAAATTCTAACTTATCTGTGTGACTCAGTTCAAGCAAAAAGGATATGGGGTATCCATACTGTGTATGCCTCTTCTACCATTGTACCCTGTAATCATTCCATCCTGTTATTTATTAAACTACTGGTAATTGTTTGTAGTTGTCTTAGCTGTACTAAATTATGAGCATTCGTGGAAGAATTTTGTCCCTAGTACCAAAGCAATTTCTTTGGTCTTTATCATTAAGCACAATTTTGAATGAATATTCAAGTTCTACGAGGAGTTTCTTCAAGTGAGTTTGTAGTTGAAATTGTACTTCAGCATGTCAAGGGAGAGAATTTAGCCAAAGTAAAGGAAACATGTATGGAGTGTTCATTGAGTTTAGTAGAAGAGATTTCCCGCAGATGTGAGAGAGAAGATGAAGCCCGTAATAGGAAACTACTTTTGCTATGTGAGGGATTGAAGGGAGAAGGGCAGTGGTAGTAGAGAGGAGAGTCCATGCTTTTCACTTTTGCAATTGGAAGTAGAGAAGGTTTTTAGGGGAAGCAGCAATTTTGGAGGGGAAGATGAACATGGTTTTGGATGTACTGTCGAGCTGTTGGGAGCAATTCGTTTTGGGGAAAAATCATTAAAGTATGACTACAGCTGTTTAAGACTCAATGTCACCTTGCCCAAGAGTACAGAAACAACTGTTTTGCCTTCAGTCACAGCTGAAACTGGATGACCCTGTGATGCTGTGACACTCCAGGGCAGGATTACCTCAGCTGAAGACATTCTGGTTCTTTGAGAACCAAGTAGTAAGACAAAGGTTTCACCTTTGTCTTTTCATCCTAATCAGTATAAGTTCCTTATCGACCTAGGATCTTCATCAGCAAAAGTTCCTCATCATCCTAGGATTATTGCTGCCCTGAGTTAATCTGTTATTCCCAATGAACTCAATAAAGGTGTGCCAAACTTGGGGTGCCGTCTTTGCTATCCAGAGCAGCATTGATCAAACCCAAAGCTCAGTTTAAGTCTCATTTCCTGTCTTGATTCATTAATTTGCCTTGTGTTGTAGTGGCTCACAGGAGACCAGGACTCACTGCAGGGATTCTGGTAACATCCCCATTTCCCTGTTCCCTACATTGAGCGATGTACCGAAGCATTTTTGACATCAGATGAAAGTGTTACTGGATGGTACTGCTCACATTCTGGAAGTTACAAAAGTATGAATGGGCAGGGTTTATGGTGAGAAGTACGGTGCTGAGTTATTTTAGATGATGAAAGTTGAAATAGTTGTAGAATAGAGCTGCTAGGTAGAATAGGAAGGAAAATGAAGGAGTAAATGCTAGAGAAATATTAAGAAATTGGCCAAAGAGGTGCCTGAAAAGCAGCAGAATAAGCAGGAAGGAAAACTAGGTGATAAAGTAATGAAGAGGGAATTACCAGGGATATCTCATTGGCGGCCCATTAAAATTGTGGAAACAGTCTTTGTGGTGCTTCATTACAAGAATCATCGATTCTATTAATACTTTTGGTTGAGGAAAAGTCAGCAGAAAATGATTCTGAAAACCTGGCAAAGAAATTTAGGAGTTTTTATAGTCTGCAATTAAATGTAGTTTTACATGACAATTAGCCAAACTTGGAGATTGATGGCAACTCCATAAGAATGTAAGAAGGTGTCAGTAAAGGTTTTAGTCTTATAATCAGGTGGGGGTTTTTTCTCATGTTTTGTTTGTAATAGCTTTTGTCCTGTCGTCCCAGAACTTCGGTTCATGACTACTTTGGTTGTCTTAACTTTTGTCCTGTTATCCCAGAACTTTGGTTCTTGACTACTTTGGTAGTCTTAAAAGCTAATTTGTTAGGGATAATTCTGTCAGAGTTTGGCATGAATCATTTAGGTTCTTTTAGTAATACAGTTTCTAACTTTGTTTGTCAGTGTGAATGAAGCACATAAGTTGTTAAATCTACTCTTTGGGGGTTTTCTAGTAATGGGGAATGTCTTCATTACATCTCTATGATCTCTTTGTGGCCAAGGATAACAGGAATAGTGGCACAGTTTCATTTCCCTGACTGCGTAAGTCTTTCTGGCCTCAACACATGAACAGCTTTCACGATGCTGCTGCATGGGTCTATCCTTGACTGCAGGTGACCTTGATGTTTCTAAAATGAGTGTGTAACTCAAAACGAGCAGTGGCAGGGAGTTTCCATATAAATGAATGGGCCAGATGGAAATACTGGGGTAGGGTTATATGGAAGTGAATAGGTGTTTGTTAAAATGTCACCTCATCTGATTTCTATTTGGAATTTCTAGCAATGGCAAGGTAAGACAGGGCGTTCACATTTTGGGTTGAGTTTTTAGCCTGTAAAAGTTTTTCCTGGAATTAAAGTTTTTATTCCCTACTCAGTGCTGGGGATTGAACATAGGGCTTCAACACATGCTAGACAAGTGCAATACCATTAACCTACATCCTCAGCAAAATTTCCTTTTAAAATTTTTATTTTATTTTATTAGTACATGTTTGCAATTCATGCAGTTTACAACTGTCTTGGGGAGTGGTTGTCAGCAAAATTTCTTAACTGGATTTTACA